TTGAATCGGAACCTACCTAACTAATAAAAACCAAAGATTTAAGTAAGCTAAAGAAGAAAAATCTATACAACTCTCTAATAAGGAAAATTCCCAAAGGCTTGGTAGCCATCATAATGAAGTAATGAAATTGGGTTGTTAGCGGAATGCTAAATAAAACAGCAAAAAAGGTTATCTTCCATTTAATTCCACTTAATTAATTTTGGTATCCATGACAGATACGTATTTCGACTACAATGTGCAGTCTTCATCAGTGTCATTCCCACTAAAGAACTTATCAAAATCTAACCCCCTTAAGTACTCATCCCCTAGGTAAAAAAGTCAAGATCATAGGTATAAAAATGAAACTACAATGTGTTGAATCGGAACCTACCTAACTAATAAAAACCAAAGATTTAAGTAAGCTAAAGAAGAAAAATCTATACAACTCTCTAATAAGGAAAATTCCCAAAGGCTTGGTAGCCATCATAATGAAGTAATGAAATTGGGTTGTTAGCGGAATGCTAAATAAAACAGCAAAAAAGGTTATCTTCCATTTAATTCCACTTAATTAATTTTGGTATCCATGACAGATACGTATTTCGACTACAATGTGCAGTCTTCATCAGTGTCATTCCCACTAAAGAACTTATCAAAATCTAACCCCCTTAAGTACTCATCCCCTAGGTAAAAAAGTCAAGATCATAGGTATAAAAATGAAACTACAATGTGTTGAATCGGAACCTACCTAACTAATAAAAACCAAAGATTTAAGTAAGCTAAAGAAGAAAAATCTATACAACTCTCTAATAAGGAAAATTCCCAAAGGCTTGGTAGCCATCATAATGAAGTAATGAAATTGGGTTGTTAGCGGAATGCTAAATAAAACAGCAAAAAAGGTTATCTTCCATTTAATTCCACTTAATTAATTTTGATGGCTACCAAGCCTTTGGGAATTTTCCTTATTAGAGAGTTGTATAGATTTTTCTTCTTTAGCTTACTTAAATCTTTGGTTTTTATTAGTTAGGTAGGTTCCGATTCAACACATTGTAGTTTCATTTTTATACCTATGATCTTGACTTTTTTACCTAGGGGATGAGTACTTAAGGGGGTTAGATTTTGATAAGTTCTTTAGTGGTAATGACACTGATGAAGACTGCACATTGTAGTCGAAATACGTATCTGTCATGGATACCAAAATTAATTAAGTGGAATTAAATGGAAGATAACCTTTTTTGCTGTTTTATGAAGTACATGCTAATATAGTTTTTTTTACCCATGCATGTGTTCAATCATGCGTTTTCAGGGGCTCAAAAGAATTTAATGAGAGAAAAACTTATGATGATGCGTATAGCTACATAAATCCAAAGCTGTTTACAAAAGTTGCCAAGCAAGTGCCAGTTGTCAGTCCGCAAACATCAAGCGCACCACGTTGCGCATTGACTGTGAGAGATTTATTCATAGAAGGTCCCGCACACCTTTTTCCAGCTGTGTGATTGGTTGGAGCAGAGAAAACGGGACATAAGGAATTGCGTTCATTTTATACCTAAAACAGTGAGAAATTTATCACCGAAATACTTTCCCGCACATGGCGGTTTAATCTACGAAAATGATTTCCAATAACCGCAAGTCGCAGTAAACTCTTCTCAGCAATACATTTCTGTGGGATAACTGAAACGCATAAGCAAAATGGTTGATCGTCTGCTTAGTTGCCAGTACTATTGCTGCAGTTTGAAAAGCTATTACGTTTATTTGAAGTGTAGCTTTTCTGTGAGCATTTTTCACATGTTATAGATAACATATACCTAATATGGTTCTGGTCACTCTGTACCAACAGTGAAATTCCTTTTGAATTGTTGATGTATTGCAAGATGGATCTTGAATGAAATCAGATTATGTTCTCATTGGAACCATGACACCTTCAGTTTCTCAATATGGTTAAGAGATCTGAAAATAACCACAAATGATCAATTTGTTCCAAGATGGCTCAAAACATTATCTCCGGTAGCATCAGAACATGTATAATTTTTGAAGAGTCACATGATGAGTTTGGCTGATATCGGATCCTGGTTACCTCTTTGGGGACACTAGAACGTACTAGTTTGTGACCAATGTTGCCTTGGGGACTGAAAATGATCACAAAAGATCTTGTTATTGAGCTCTCATGTGGTTTGATAAATCGTATCATAAGTTTTGACTCAACCCTGGATCCGGCAACTTCCTTGGAGGCACCAGGAATATACCAGTGATGTGTTGAACGTGGTCTTAGAATTCCTGATTTCATTAAAATTGTGATTTTTATATTTGTTGATTATTGATCATTATTGGCAAAACTGCCGGCATTTCTCGAATCTTAATTTTTCTCTCTCTCTCTGAGAGACAACACATGGTTATTTATTGGTAGAACGTGACAATTTTGAATTTAACGGTCAAGGGCTCCGGCCTTAAAACCGATATTTGATTATACAAAAATTAAAAATAAATTTCCTCTAGGTAACTACAATTTCAAAGTATAAAAAGCACATAGAAAAGGTTAAAAAAAAATGTTGAAACTAAGTAATTTACCTAATTTTTTTTATGTACAACTCTACACATCCATATAGAGTTAATACCAGACTCGTGTTTAATTTTTTAAATATATCTTGTTGAACGATTTTGCAAAATCTATCAATGACCCTTTAAAATTGATAGATACGCGTAATTCGTCTACAGTGAGCAAACTACTTGCTGGTACGGAATTGGTGGATCACTGCACCACGTATCTTTTCAGATAGCAGAAGGTCGTGGGTTCAATCCCTATCAATCGCTAAGTTGAAATATTTGTAGCTTGGATAATTTGCCAATTATGTTTACCAAATGTATCCTATAGCTTACCCTCCCTACTAAGGAAACACTTATGAGGGGTCGTAGAGTTGTCTTCATTTAGTTTAAGTTAGTGTCCAACTAACAATCTTAACTATCCACATCAGTCGCAAAGACATGACCAGAACAGTTCTCGATCATTGGAGGTTGTTTCGCATCCGTATATTAATCTAGAACTTGTACCACCTATGAATTTATGCAAACGAATGCGAATGCTAGTGAGCAGACTACTTGCTAGTTGGCTTAGTGCGTTTGTAGAACTTGGAAGGTAGTCCAACCACAATTTAGTATTGCGGCTATAAATACTCGTAAAACAAAAGGGCAATTGAAAACTTGATTGAAAATGAGTTCAGGACTCAAATATCCGATGGCTAATGCTAATCAAGCCAACGTAATGTGGATGGGTGGTAATATTTGTATGAATAAAATAGCGCATGTTGAATGATTTCAAAATTTTAATATTTTTTAATTTAATTATATTTTTAATTATTTTTTGGCCATCTTCGAGCAGTTTGCATTTTTGATTTAAATTAACTTTGACCAGCATTTTTTTCAGCAAATTTTTGTTGGTGAAAATTCAGAAACTAAATACAGTACAGTTTAATGCTTTGATGTTGTAGCAGAAATGCAAAATGTGTCAACAACATACTTTACAACCTATTCTTGTAACTTACAAGTGCAAAATATCATAATTTTGAAAAAAAAAATAATTTTTTAAAGTATCGCATGAATTGATGATTGCAAACGGGAAGGTGAGTAGGTGTACCTGGGGTTTATAACCCTAGATTCACGAGTAGACTGGCCCTCAGAAATAAAAGTTCTATTGTTCCACGTTCCAACCGCTAGATTTTTTCCTTTAGGTGAGAAAACCATTCTCTGAAAGTTTCAGCTCATTTTGCAGAAGGCGCATTTATTTTGTATGGCGAATTTGAATTTAATATGTACATGAAAAAAATACCCCCCTTCAATCGTTCGATTATAAAAAGGCTTCTCTATTCTGGATTTACATTATGAGTACATGGCACTGTATCTGTACGTGTATGTATCTGTCAAGTGTAGCATTAAATGGAAATAACTAATCCTTATCTCTTTCTTTAAAGTTTTCGAGCATAATGCACACCATGGATCTCAAACGTAATATTTCCCAATAAAATCAGATTGGATTGAAAATACAACCATCGATTTAAAGCTTGAAAACTTATTAATATTATTTGCAGGTTTACTATAAAAACCCACAAAACACTTTCTGCAAATCAAAAAAAAAAGAAACAAACTCCCCGAAAAGTTCAATATTAAACTTCTAACTATACCACGCGCATCGCATGCTGTCGCCTTCAACTCATCAGTATAGGACAGGGCTTCCCAGCACGTGGCATGTGTATTCCAAACTTTTAATGACCCATCCCTCCTTCGTTCAATATTTGCTCTAGAGTATCCCTGACAGGATATATTCACTCCATCCCCACAAAATATGTTCGCGTGCAAACTTATGTGGGAGAATTTTTTACACCCCAATTTATGTTTGATAAACACAGGACGACAAACGTGTACTGAAAGCTCCCGTGTCGAGTACCTAACACTGCTCAGTGACGTTAGCACTTCGATCCTTATCAAAGGCGAAACAAGTCAAAAAGAAGAGAGAGCTCTCCTGTCTGCACCAGAATGTGGGAAGAGTATTCCCTTCAGGACAAGAGGAAGACGAGTCTGTATAAAAGTTTTACGAACGCAAATAGTAATCATATCTTTCTCCTTCTTTCGTTTCAGGAAGTTCTCACGGCTGCTGTGGATTTGCGCTCCAACAATCCCTCGCGGAGTTTAAGTGTTTATTCTAGCGGAAATGTCGCCAGGAGATGGCTTTATGAATTCATTCTCATAACGAGCGGCTTGCAATAATGATAGAGTCATATTATTTTTTACGACCTAGCACTGCCTCCGATTCAGCCTTTCCACCGCAGAATTCAACGGTGTTGGCAGAAAGAGGCTTTCTGTTTTTAATTCAATCATAATAAAGTGAGTGGCAATGTGGTTTTAACGGCGCGTTAAAAAAGTAAGATAATTAATCATTATAAAATACATCCACGCAAAATAAAGCTCCGGAAGAAAGGATGTAAGAATGTAAATAATAATGTGAAAATAACAGAAAAAATAACAGTTAAAAGAGTGGCAGAAATGCTGAAAATTTAATTGATTCGTTGTTGGTGTTTCATCCTTGTGCAGTTCAGCCATAAAAAAATGGGCTGTAAACATGTTGCAGTTGAAGAATACAGTCCAAATTGAAAAAAGACCCAATTAAATTAATGTAACATAAATCGGTCGCTTTTTTATGCGGCAATAATCGGTGAGGCGTAACAGTGAGATCGGAAATCGCAGTAATGGAATTAATACAAATCAAATCAATTCAGCATCATTTATTTTATTGGATAATCATATTCTTGTTACTATCGTCGTCGCCACTGATGCTGCGAGCGGACCCAGGAGCGCAGATTTTCAGAGTGGACCCACTAGGTAAATATATAAATCAATCACAAACTGTATGAATGCATTCCGCTCAATGTAACATGTTATGTTGCTGTAATTGGTTTTGATCCAGACTAGGCTATCTTCCGGAATTTTTTGTGGTGTACATGCGGATTATCCATGAAAAAATATTACACTTATTACAGTCAGGACTCCTGATGCTTGATTTTCTTATAATAAATACGTGCAACAGAAGCATCATTGCAGTAAAACTCATAGTATTTTCCAATATCATCCAGATATTCCAGTTAAATGTTTCAAAGGGTCCTATTTTTTTTTTTTTTTTTCCATTGATTTATTTTCCGTCGATCTTGTTTTCCGTGCTGAGCACCAATGCTACCGACGCCAGAGAGGCAGCTCCTACACCTGGACCCTACCTATCGACCCATCAACTCATGAACCGAGGACCAACGGCTTTACTTCCCTTCCGAAGGAAGGCGTGATCAGAGATGTTATGCCTCAGAACATCCCGGCGGCGCCGACTGGGATTGAACCCAGGCCTGCTGGGGTGAGAGGTAATCACGCTTACCACTACACCACCGGCGCCGCAAAAGGGTCCTATCTGTTTCGATTGATTCTCTTCATCGACTTTCGCTTTGGATACCTACGCCGATCAGTGCGTCACAATATCAGTTTCAATCGATAAAATCGATTTGACGAAGAGTCTGCTTGTTTTTTTTCGCATCATTCGTGAATTTAAAAAGAACCTTGCACTTAAACCTTTATGTACAGATACAAAAGGACGGACAAAATTATATTCCGTTAAAAGGTGAAAGCTCCTAACGAATTACATAGCATAGATGCCAATTAAAAAAAACCCCTCTATTCTCAAGCGCTATTGAATTTTTAAATGAACATTTCAAAAGTTTATATCTCCTTTGATCGATTCTCTTCATTGACTTTCTCTTTAATAAATAAATGCAAATGTGTTTCCTGTTGTGTTTGACGATGAGCTAGATAAGAACATCATTTATTAAACTATGTAGCAAAAATAACTCAAAATCGGTGATTATCAAAAGAGAAAGTCGAAGAAGAGAATCGATCAAAGCAGATAGTAGGGGAGAACAGGCCTGGGGTAAAATGCACACATGCATAAAACATCAACTATGACTTTTTCTCAGAATCTTTCCCAGCTAACGGATTGTGTTTATTTCCAGTTGGAAGTTTCACAAGTAATTTCTGGACAAGAAATCGTACAGAAGGACACTAATTAATCTAAAAATTGAGATTTTGTGCAACACATGTCATAGTTGTGCTTCTAACAGTGTATATCAGAAATGAATGGAATTAATTCACCTGTACCATAAGTTTTATACATTTTTCTTTCAGAATTACAGTTTAACATTCTACATACACGTACATTTATATAAATAAAGAAACAATAAATGGGAATTCCTCAAGCATTTTTGTCCTCAATTATTAGGTTATGTTTCAATTCACTCAAGCTGTGCATTTTACCCCAATGTTGTGTCTTGTCCATTGTTGTCGTGCATCTTACCCCAATGTTGTGGCGCATATTGTACCAGGCATCAAGCGTTTTCGTCACTGTCATTTTGGAGTCGATTTAAAAAAAATCATAAAATATCAAGAAAAATTATTGTTTTGGAGTTTAAAAAACACGTTATCATCGTAGAAAACATTGTTATATACCATAATCAATTACGTTTTCCTAATTTTAGCAGCCGTATACTAGCAATTCACGGTTTTCCATAAACGGTGAGTTTTGCACAACCGTACCTTACTACCTTTGTCATTTCCGTGTGTTTTAATCGGTTTTTCGGTAATGTAAAATTCAGTAGCGGTAAACCTTGTAAAAACCCGATAATGGGTTTTGTTTCGTGATTGGAAAATCCTACTTTTAATCGGAAAATATGCAAGATTATATCTAATTATCCGAATTGACTCAGTTGTCACAGCACATCCCAAGTATTATTTTTTTCTTGTAAAATTTGTTTATTCTTCAGTTAACAAGAAATAACATAATAATTATTGAAACTTCGATATCTAATTCGAATTCTAATGCGGCTACGTCAAGAACATTATTAAATTGCATAACAAAGGTGACACATTATATGAACAATTTTGGAATTCTAAGTTTTTTGGATTCTTAATAGTTTATCTATCGAGAGTCTGCGCCATCTATTGAGTAGAATCGTTATCTTCCTCTTCAGCACTAACTTGTGCTGTAGTGTTGCACAGGCAACGTTACAGTGTAGGCAGTGTTCACCATCGCTTCTATTCATTCGGTACATCAGTTTTCAGTGCTCAAGCTTTCCGTTGACCAACAAAAATAAGGCGTTCGCTCGAATTCAGCTGTCGCATCGTTATATTTGTCCAGATTTGCCACCAGTTTGCTGCTGGATGTTTTTTCGATGAGATTGTAAGGAATACTATCGTTACTAAGATTTAGGCAAGAACAATCTGTGGGCAGGGTGGGATTTTGCAGGGTAAGAATGGACCTTAAGAAGGAAAGGGAAGCGATATCACTCACATGTCGATTTAGTAGCCGCGCCTTGTACTTCAAAGCTGGAAAGTGTAGTTTCAAGCCACCTACATACTTCTCTGCTACGTGCAAGTTGTTGCACTGTAACCAGTGCTGAGATTTTTTTTATCATTGACAGACTTTCGCGCGATATTGACCAAATTGTTTTTCACAAAGTCACTGATAGTCTTGATCCTCAAAATAACTTTCGTTAAAATTTCATTAATTTTTTCGCCAAAGAAAAAGATTCACCTGGTAACAGAAAGTGTAATTTCTTGCATTATATGCCACATTATTGTTATCCAAGCAGATCAGAACAATGATGCTTGTTCAATTAAACGGCTCCATGATTTGCTCAAGTCATTTAATTTTGTTACATATTTACCTAATATAAAAAAATCTGCACATGTTCGTAACTGAAAGCATTGTCACTGACAATTGACATGGTCTGTATTGCCGGGATTTTGCAGCACTAATCCCATCGTCGAAGTCAGTTTTACCGTATGAGCGGCAGTTAGTGTAAGAATGGATGCGAGATACCATATCTTTGATGTGATGAATGTGTTGAGCAGGATCACTTCTTGGTTCAAGGTGAGTGTACGGAGACAGTGGAGAGAAGCCTGCCGAGAGAATTGACCGATATGCTCATCCCAGTTTATCTTGTCCATCAACCGTATCCAGTTATCGAAAGTCACCCCCAAAATACGAACGGTGTTTTCGTTCCGCAGCCACGGTACTCTGAGTGGCATGACGTCAATGTAGCCTATTGATATCGACACTGATGTCTAGGCTCAGCTTTAATCAAAAGCAAGTGCCACATGGGTAAAAATATTGTCAATTCTCAAAAGTATTGACCATGATATTGATGCAATTATTTACGACGAAAACATTGGTGATTATATTAATGCAAAATTAAAAAAAAATTTGATTTCATTCTTCAATATTTACCCTCATTTTCCCCTTCTGACTACTGCAGGTGGGCCCATTCCTCGGCAACTTTTGTCAAGGTGGTGATGTTTATATTCGGAATATTCCATCGGATACAACAATGTTTATTGTCATGAAACTATTGACGAAACTTCTGTCGTGTGGGTTGCACTAGAGGCACGTTCAAAAAGTTGAAGTGTTTCGCGAATCCGATCCATTCTTGCCAGGCATGTACTGATCACCGACAAACTGCTCGAGCCGCTTCATCAATGGATGTAGATATAAGACGAAGAGATGGATGGGTACCTTGGCTAACCGATCGCTCGATTGGAAATGCTTTCGAGAGATGCACTTTTATCAACAGGCGAGAGAACGACAAATTTCCGATTTTGGTCAGTCGTGCGATTCGATCTTTCAAGGCAAAGGTAGGCCGAAAGAGGACTTTTGACTCTCGTTGATCACTCGGTGGGTACTCATCACGCTACTCAGACTCTGTTTTAAAATACGAGAGAGAATGTTATAATCAAAGTTGATTAACGAGATCGGTCTGTAAGAATGCGCTGAACAATCGTTTCCCTTCTTTTTCACGAGCATGATTACACCGTCAACAAAATCAGCTTTGAAGTTAGCGTTAGCGTTAGCGTTGTTATGATATACTTCGTAGATTGGATACTAGCGACACTCATGTCTCTTCTGAAATTCTCAGTTAGACTACTTTCAGGAAAAATGCTGGGGAGTAAACATTGGTTCCAATCTAAACAAGAGTAACAGAAGCATGACTGTCGCTATTCCTGGTCACGCCCATCTTTATCATAACTAGGGATAGGGAAGGAAATGTTGATGCAGTACTTACTTAACGAAAGGCCACCGACTTAGCGACACCCTCATAAGTGCTACGGAGTTGGAGAGTTGGGTAGGGTATTCGGTTAGGATTCACCAGGATGCAACCAGAAGTATGTATTGTTTATTTGATGTTTATTTAATCTCTCGATAGCCGGCTATCGAAAGAACATATTCATTTTGTTTAATGATCATGAATGTTAAGAGTCATGACGGAGAGCTTGGGATTAAACCCATGATTTTCTGCTCAGTAAGCAAAAACGATCCCTCCAGGGTCATCGAGCATCTCAGAACCATAACGCTTCGCGACAATACAGCACTACGTTTTCACTTGATATGTAAATAGGTGCCGAGGTTATTGTTCAATATCAAATATACAAATGATGGTGGCGGTTTATTGTACTGTGGAAGAGCTTGGGTTAAATCCATGATTTTCTGCTCAGTAAGCAAATCGATCCCTCCAGGGTCATCGAGCATCTCATAATACACAGCGCTTCGCGTCAAAGTACGATTATATGGATGAACTATCTATTATTTACGATAATTACATGAAAGAAATAAAATATAAACTACAAACAAAACGTGACTACTAAAATCTCAAAAAGATATTCTCACAATTAAATTTAACGCAACCAGGAATCTCAAAACCATTAGACCCTATAATGATACTCTGCACATGTTAGACACAAGAAGAGGCCAAAAAGCAAGCGTCCAACTCACAAAACCCGCCAAATCCACT